TTCCCTACTTTCTGCAGGCAAAGCTGTCATTTCCTATCTTTTCCTAGTAAGTCACCTACATCTTTCCCCTGTCCATACCAATGCAATTAAAATAAACAAATCAGAAGTGTAACAAATTTTATATCTGACTTCTAGCAATCTGACCAGCTCATTGATGTGCTGTATCCCTTTTCACTTCTACATTGTCTGCTGAGACTGTGAAAACTCTTCAGAGAAGGGACTGTCTTGTGTTTGTCAGAGAACTAAGAACAGTTCCCAGCTGAGTCTGAAGAATCCTCTATAATTTGCTGAAGAAAATATCTGGGAAAAGTACGTCCTTCTTAGTGCAAAATAGTCAATGTGAAGTTCAGTACATCAGAGTATAACGATAAACTACCTAAATGCATTTGCCAAATAAGATACTTATCTATTGTTAAGTTATCCAAAAATATCCTCATGGCTAGGATCTCTGTAAGTATAAACATTCTGATGAAGCAAAATGATTTAGAGTTACAATTAAAAAAACTGGAGTAAGCAAAAAGATACATAGGAAACATAATCCTATTCCAAAAGATTGTGCTATCCAAGGGGATCTAGAATATTAATTAGTAGGTTGTTGCAAACCTATAAAAAAATCATCCCATAATTACTCTGAAAAAAGTTGCAATTTCAAAGCTACACTGCAGAATAGCATACTGGATTAATTATGCCAGACTGCAGCAATAACCTTGAATTAAAGCTGCAACCTTCTATTTTTAAGAAACAATTGCCTTTCTGGTTGATGAAACCTGTCGTCCCATCAGGTAACAGACGTGACCAGGAAAGAGAAAAGCTATAATGAGTCAATCCAAGCTGTTTGATACATTTCAAATCTTCCTCCCACAGAGTGTAGCTGCCACAAGCTACATCACCAGTCTGGTTCTTGAAAACTCGATCTCCTCCCTGATGGGCGAATGTGTCCCAGACATTAGGGCCCTTTCCATCTGCATTCCAGCCTTCTGTGTGAAAATCAAAACTTGGTCATTACACTCCTGACATCAAAAGACATATGTTGAATGTAAATATTTATCACAAAGTAGGCACAAAACCCTCAAAATCCTATGAGCAAATGAAGCAGTATTCCCTCCCCCCTCCTCATATCATTTAAAGTAACTAGGAACTTCTAAGCATTAGTATATATTTGAATTAGGTTTTGCATTTATTCATATTTTTCCTTGCTGCTAATTATTTGAAAATCCTGTTTCAAAAAGCATTCACAGTTCTGACACTATTCATACTTCCTCAGCCAAAAATCAGATGTTTGCAACTCTTGAGATATTACAGGTTTTCACAAAGGGCATTTTCTAATGCAACTTCCATCCATAAATGTAAAAGATCAGTCCATATCAAAGAAAGCCTTTAGGGTATGAGAAATACATCCAACAAATAGGCACTTATGGCTTTCTGGATGTCCTTTGAAAATCCTGACAGTCTGTTAAAAAGAAAGGAATGCCATTACGAGCCATGGCCTTAGGCATATACAAGCTGAATTAATAACACAGCTCTACAAAACTACTGCTTTTTGCTTAGCCAAACGTTCACAGAAATGAATTTTGAATGCTCAAAATCCCTGCACCGTTTTCTTCACTATCATAATTTTGGGAAATTTCTTTGAAATTCCAAACCTGAGATAGATAGATTACCTTTAAAATATTCAAGATTTAGCTGTTGTTTGAGATTACACAGTACTAACATTACATAGTATTTAAACCAAATAAATTCACCATTACAATCTTCTTTGTCTTTCCAGAGCAACGCTGTAACTGAGGCAAACATTTCATTTTTAATATGGAGAGCTCTGTAAACTTACACCCCTGCAAAGTGTGATTTTATCACAAAATTCCAAATAACCCCAAAATGGCCAACCTCATTTACCAGCAAGATGTTTCAGAGCCCCAGTGAACCCACTGTTCCAGGGTTACTCTTTAAAAACTAAAATGACATTGTGTGTTAAAATCATGTATAAATTAAATATCAGTTGGGTTGTAAGATTAATAACTATATAATAGCTACATATCAATCCTCAATAAAAGTGTTTTAATAATCAATTAGTATATAGAAATTAGAGATGGAGGAGAACTATTAGGAGGTCATTGAGTCCATCCCCTGCCAACGCAAGATTGCTCCCTTAAGTATATTCAGTACTTAATACACATCTGTCTTATTAAATCTAAGTTTAATGCAAGGTTAAGCATATTGAAGACACTTAATTTAAAGCATTAGTAAAATTTGTAATATCACTTCTATAACCTAGCTTTTCAAAGATCATTGTCACATTTCATGTTCTTTACAGAATTTTATTGCAGCACATGAACATCGATACATCTACATTTGGTTGGTCAGTAAATTAAACTCTTATATAGGACAACCTTCAAAGTAGGTCAAATTTTAGATCCAGACAGTTTGAGTTTCTCTTAATCTCAGACTTTGTGCTCTGTCTGTATAGTCCTTGGAAAAATGCAGTACTAAAAGTTTTCTATATCCGGCTTCTGATTTCAAACATACCTGCTGAAATAAATAGTCATTTTAGAGGAGTGCAGGAAATAACAAATAACAGTAATTCTTTGGTGGTACCTAGAATTTAGAAGCCTTTAAAATCAGGCTTCCTGCACCATATCAATATGGTATAGCTCCTTTTTCACTACGGTGGGAGTGAAGGGAATTCAAAAGCTGCCATAACGGGCAGCTAACACACCTTCATTTAAGAATCAGCAGCTAGCGCAGATGCTGAACGATTTCTTTTTTGTCTGCTTTCCTCTAGCAAAGAAGGTGGGAGGGAGGAGGAGAAGCATTCGATTTTCAGCAGAGTATGACAGTGCTACTCCAGTGGTCATTAGCCACTATAAAGCCCTGAGTGGGGCTATGGCAAACAGATCCACTTTCAAGCCTTCCTCATGCTGTTTGAAGAGCCTCTCTGTGCAGTGCAGTGTATCTGAGCTAGCTAAATAAAGTGGAGGAAGCAATCTAGCCAAGGCACCAGAAAGCTCCACATACACTAACGTATCCTGCTGAGCCACAATTAGCCTGCACAGAGCTCTGCTCTGCTTCAATGAACTGAGCTTGCACCTCTAAGCTTGCTCAGAAACCTCTACGCTACACAGAAGTTCACAGTGTAGGCATACCCTCGGAGTTTTAGTGAGCTTCAGGGCCAGGAAAGAACAGTGAAGAGGAACTTACTTTACATTTCAAACACATGGGTGAGTCTTAGCTACTAAATCATCACATAACATGTCATCAAAAGATTAATATGTATTATCATGAAATGTGATGCATGTTGCCCGTTCTCTGTAATTATTACAACGGAGTAAGATAAAATATCTTTCCATTTAAGTGAAGCCAGTGAAGCAGGAATATTACTGACCAGAGTATTTAACTTTTCACATACTTTTCCAAGTTAGTTTTTCTTCTCATTCAGCTGTGCTTTCACTTTTTGGAGTGAAATTTTCTTGGCCCGGTATGTGCCCAAAAGGTGAAATTTTGTCTGAATTCATATAGTTCAACTATTTGGCATATTAAAAAAGTGAAGAAAACCACTTTCACCATTAGGAGAATTTTTTGTAACTTTTCCCTCTCTCTGTCTCAAAAAAAAAAAAAAAAAAAAAAAAAATCAAGCAGAGAGTTGAAATTTAGCATAGAAATGGCCCTCAGTAAGAAGAAGTGCTTTTGAGTGTTCTGGTGCAAATTGATTTTGATTTGACTGAGTCATGAACCTTTGAAATCTGCACTTTGAGCATGCAGAGTACAATTGGTATGATTTTTTAGCACTTTGAAATATACAGAGTGGAAAAGGTTGTGCTGTGCATAAATACATAGCTGACAGTGAAAAATAAAGCAGCCTGTCAGCCCTTGCCTCATCCACTGTGTATCTTGTGCTATGTGCAGCAACTGAGTTTGGACTCTACAAGAACTATTGCTTCAATCATGTTGCCTCTAAGTTGGAAGCTGCACAGCTTCCAAAGCTTTCAAGAGGAGGAATTCCCTGTTGAGTTTCTTACTTCTGTGGGAAAAGGGTCATTAGAGTAGTGTCTAGATCACATATAGATTTTTTTTTTTTTTTACGTTTCTCCCACTCCAAAGCCTTAGGAAAGCTCATTAAAAATACATTAAGAGAACATTAAAGCTGCACATCTAGCCACTCAAAAGGCAGGAAATTATAATGTCATTCTATATGCACAGACAATTCACATTTTAAAAATTAGTTAGTAAAGCTATGCGCATTGCAGGACTCGAGTTAGAATCTGGCCCAGAATATTGATTCCCCAGGAACAGCGAGCTGTTCAGTCTATTAGGTGAAGCTAACTGAGCTCGTTAAAAGGTACCAAGCATGGGCAAGTACTCTCGCTTTCAGCAATAACCAAGAACTAAAGGCTACATCCTCAAAGACAATTTTAGATCTACAACTCCCATTTAGGTACTGAAATCAATGGGAGCTAAGTGCCTGTATGCTGTAGGGTATAATATGAGAAAATCAGATCTATATCTATTTTCAAGGTCTCTAAACACACATTTATGAAGGGATGAAGTTTGAGGGGCTTATGGCTCTAGGTGTCTCTGTACCTTATGGATTTACATTCCCTAATCAGCCACGTATTTTCATGTCATGCTGGGCAAATCACTTTATCAGCACCTCCATTCACTTGGGAACATGATACATGTCCTTGGGGGACAGCCTCCACAAGTCCAGCTGTTAACCTCTCAGCTCATCGTTTTACATATTCTTTGGAGATTACTTCCTAACTGAGGACCCCTTGTGAGTACCAGTGTCTGATGAGGTTGTTCTCCCATCCAGTTTTGGAACAGCTGACAGTAATCTACTTAAATTAGCTCTAGAGAAAGGAAATATTCAAGAAGTAGTTGGAAAATAACTTTTATCTGCTTTCCCCACCACCACCTCTCAATATCTAGTAAAAGGTTCCTCCTCCATTTCCATTACCTAGTCATATTTCTAAGATTTGAAACATCTTTTACCCTTTTCTTACTGTTCAGGCCAGAATTGCTTAAACAGAAGTGCTACATGGATTTGCATCAGATGCAGCATCTACATGATGAGGCAAAGATCACGCACTCTCCTTCCTGCATCCAGACTTTTTATTCACTTAAAACTTCCTTAACACTTTGGCAGCTAAAAATTGACACCTTCAATTTGATATGCCGCTGTAGCTGCACACCAAGCAAATCCAACTGGAAAAGCAATATCCTCTGGCACCAGCTGCAGAGGACAGGCGAATACACAGCATTATGCGATGCTATGGAGATGTGGGCTTCATTTGCAGACAGCACTTTCTGGCTCGATCACTCTTCCACTTGTTACAAGCAGATTCCATACTGAAGACAAAAATAAACCCTGTGCAGCTTCACACACCGAAGGGCAAGCCATGCATTTTGCATATCTCAGGATTAAAGCAGAAAGGTTCAGGCAGCTAACAGTGAAAGTGGAAAAGGCAGCAGTGGAATAGCCTGGGGTAGCCACAGTAAAGGGGCTCCACCTAGTACAAAGCATTAGTACACAGAACAGACTCCTGTTCCCCTTCACTTCCCTCTCACCTTCCACCTCCCAGCCAAAGAGGCGGACCCTCTACTCAACATAAATCCTTTAGCCACTAGGCAAAAAGTCATTTCCACCCCTTTCAGTAAGCTTCAAAGACCAACAGCACCTCTTTTTTTCTGGTATCAAATTTATATTTTTTCTCTCCTGACACCAAAACCACTTGCCTGCAGTAGGTGCAAAACGGTGTTTGAGCCACTACATGTTTAGCAGTGGAAACCACTGAGTAGAAGAGGAAGATTTGTATGCGAGTGCAAACAGAACAGCTATCTTTCTCCTTCTTTAAAATCCCATGGGTGCTCTTATTTTTCTAGAGCAGCAATGACAACCTTATGGCATGCGTGCCAGAATCAGCATCTGCAAAACAGCCCTCAGGTCTCTTCCTCTGCCTTCTGTCAATGCCGTTACCGCTCTCCTGTCAGCAGGCTGAGAAGGGAGCAGCAGCAGGAGGACAGTCAGGGTACAGCTGTAACAAGTGGGATGGGTTGAAAGTAGTTTACTGTCCCTTCCCAGAAAACTGCAACACCTGGCACACTAGATGGCACTACTGCAATTTTCTTTTGGACTTACAGGAGTTTTTTCCCCATTTACTGTAATACTACATCCACCCTGCTTTTGCCAAGGTCAGTATCTGCACATATTGGACTGATAGGCAATAATGTATGACCACTACTATTTTTTCTCCTTCTTTAATCTTCTTGTACCTTTTTGATTTTGAAATCTTTCCAGGTGAGGATCTACTCCTGCAAAGCATTATACACATAAGTGATATTTTCTTTGATAATGAAAATAAGAGCAACAAAATAAGACATACACAGAAAAACCACTAATACAGATAACACACATACTTTTGCCAGAAATATACACAATGAAAGAGTAAACTTCTTAGGAAAAAAAAATCCTTTGTAGAGATGCAGAGAAGCTGATTTAATTCCAAAGTGCATGTTGCAGAACTACACTGTGCAGATGCAATGCAAAATAAATCAGGCTTTCACAGCAGGCATGCGTTTCCTCAAGTGCCTTTCAAAGGAAAGGTAAAAGCCCCTTGAATACAAAGGAACAAAGGGGGAAATGAGGCACAACATATCAACTTGTTCCCAAAACACACACTGATACATGGTCTAGGCAAACATACGTATCCTTTATGTGTTTTATACAGATGACTAAAAACTGAGGCAATGAACTAGTTGATGTTCTCTGGTTGAAGTAGCCTCCTCAGGATTCCATTTGTAAGAAAGTAAGCATTGGACAGTTAACAGTAAAACTCATCAGGGACATCTTAAATAGTGATTAATAGGCATTAATGAACTAGAGTAATAATGCATATTTTTTACATCATTAAATGTTATTGGTAGGTACCTTTGAAAATGTAAGTGACATTAAATCTTTCCCCAGAAAATCATACAATTCAATTTCACAAGAGATAGAATAAATATGTAACTCAATAATAGGGGTAGAAGGCCAGACAGGAGGTAGTAGCAATAAAAACCCAATAAAAAGTTTTATAAAGATGCTTAACCATAAGAACAAGGCTAAAAAGTGTCACTGCTGATTCTCTAGCAGGAATCAACAGAGACAGAGATGGGGTTTAGGAGAGATTGAGTGAGAGGAAAATATTCTATAAGCAGTCTGGGGAAGAGTGAACAAAATTTGCCTCGGAGGTTAAGGCAGATTCACAGTAATGAGATAGCAGGTTATGCCAGATAAGTAGGCAGATACTGGAAGATGCAGAGGTTCAAAATTCAGAGAAGCTGCGTTTATAGCAACTAATCTCAAACTTCTCTGGCAACCCAATTTTTAGATTTGTGACCCCACTTCTGTATTTCTGGACTCATGAACCCACTCCTTGTTGCAGTAGTGGGACTTGCAATTATATTTCCATTAGACTCACTGCATGTCATGGCCTCTAGGATGCACCCGCCTTCTTACT